CCAGGACGCAAACCACAGTTGACTACGTGGGAGTCCAGCGACATAGCCATTATGCTAACTGCTGGTCCCAGTCCCCTTTTTTAATAAAAAAATCACAGCATCACAAAGAAGTATTCCAATGTTTTGTGTGAGGTGTCACTTCATGACAGCCATGCTTAAGAGTTCTCTATGTATAGCTCTATTGTGCTACTTGGTTCGCTACATAAACTCGAGCAAGTTACTTAACTCCCGTGAAATGAAAAAAAAAAATTTTTTTTTTATTAGAGGGTGCATACACTCACCAAGAGAAAGACAGGGAGAGAGAAAAAGTGAAAAAGCACCCCCCCATGGGGGAAGGCCACATCTTAATTTCTTCTCTTCCATTCTCCCATTGGGCTTTTGGACATGCAATCGTACCCAGCATGTTTTTCAAGCTGCTGGGTCTGGGATTCAGACTGTATATGGCCATGTGGGATTTAGCTACCTTAACCACCAAATGGCTGGCTGGCCTTTTCTTCCTTTTTCTCTCCCTCTCTTTCTTTCTCCTTTTCTTGAACAAATACTTTTTGAGCACCGGCAATGTACAACTCATTGTTCTGGAAATAAACACTGCAGCAGTGAGCAATGCTTTTCTTATGTTCCTAATGATCTAGTTGAATAGAAAATACAAGTAAATCAATAAATTCTAGGGTTTGAATATCTGTCCCCTCCAATCTCAAGTTGAAAAAAATGTCTATTGCCAGAAGGCGTGTGTGCTCACCCCAGAGAGAAAGAGAGAGAGAGACAGAACATCCCAGTGGGGCATGGCTACACCACAATTATTTTTCCCTCCATTCTTGCTTCCCATCAATATTTTGGGCACACATGTACACACACCTGGCATGTTTTTCAAGCTGCTGAGGCTGGGATGCAACCTATAGTCTTCCATGTGAATCCAAGTCTCTTTTGTTTGTTTTGTTTTTGTCTTTTAGTTTTTTGTTATAGGACATGCACACTCACTAAAGAAGGCGGTGTGTGAGAAATCCCCTTCCCTGCCTCTATCAGAGATGGTCATACCACCATCCCTTCTCTATTCTCCTCTTGGGATCTTGGGCACGCATGTACACATACCTGGCATGATTTTCAAGCCACCCAGTTCAGGATCAAAATGCACAGTCAGCCATGTGGCATGTAGCACCTTATCTTTCACGCCACCTGCTGGCCCTAAGATCCAGGTTTCTTAACCCCTGAGCTATGGGGCCAGCCCTCATGTTGAAACTTCATTTCTTTTTCTTTTTTT